GAGAATTCTTCTACGAGTTTTTCACTTCCTTCTTCCTATTTTCATTATTGGTTATGAATTCTAGTATTATAGTTATGCATATTATTATGAATAGCTAATTTGTTATCTAGGATTTTGATTGAACCTATTGGAAGATGATTATCGTGCTACGTTAATATAGTTTTGCTGTAGTATTTTCTCTATTTGTTCAACTACGTTATTATTGTGGTTGGTTGAAGAGCTCTCAATCGACCGTGCCTATTTAGTGTGTATTACTCGGGAGAGAGTGCATATTTAGGTAGTTGTTGAACAACGTCACTCCTAACGTATATGAGGGATCAATACGGAGGGTTTAAAGGTGAAATTAGGGATAACGAAACCTTGGGTGCAATCCGAGTGAGCCGTACTTAATGCCAGCTAGCGTAATTCGGGAGAATATGTCTAGTAAATTGTGGTAATTACTCAGGAGAGAGTTACGACAATCAGAACGCTCATGATCGGTAGAGAATACTTAGGCGAATTTATAAAAAACGTAGCTGGAAGGATTCCGACAATTGGGGAAATCATATCTCTAGACCTCCTTAATCTTGTCTCTAACCCTTAGTATCTTTTGTGGTTAATTTACTATTTTAATTTGTTAGTTAATTAGTTAAACACAAGAATCTTAATATCTATAAGTTAGGAATTGTTCAAGCTTGTCTTCTTGGTGATACTAACAGTTGTAGCTAAACCTTAGTTCTCTGTGGGATTCGACTCCGGACTTGTAAACCGGATTATATTTGCAACGACCACTTAGCCTTTTAATAAGGCATAGTTGGGCATGATCACCTAACCTTATTATCTTTGTCCTAAATTGCCAAGTGGGCTATTGTCAGGCTGCCACCAGGCTTAATGTGTGATGCTTTTTCTTCTTCTTTTAATAATATATAGATAGAATACGCGATGGAATTGTATTTATTACCTATAAAGATTCGAGAACTAATAGCATATAACAGAAGAAATTATAAATGATTATTTATAGGAAGAGATTTGATAATCCAAAGAATGATGTAGATAATTTGTTTTAGTGTCAAAAAAGAAGAAGATAATTTGGAAAGTTACAAGACATTACACAAAGAACAAATCAAATCAAGAAAAGTCAATAAAGAATTTTGAAAATTACAATATGATTCATGTATATGATATCTTTAATTTTAAAAGAATGGTAAAAACTAGAAACAAAAATGAAAAGAAAAACTTAAATTAGTAAGGGATAATTTAGAAAATATAAATTTATGGTGAGAATATTTTGTCTTGAATAAATTAATTTTTCACTTCTGCTTCTGCTTCTTGGAAGAAGCTAGAATTTTCTGCTTCTTCCCAAAGCAGAAAAACTGCGGGGCATTTGCATCTATACTCGTTTTTTGTGCCACATTTTAACCTGTGCCCGCTTTGCAAAAAAAATTGCAAGCGTACCCGCTTTTTCACATAACTTCAGCACACGGGGCTGAAGTAGCAAAGGCAATTAAACAAAACTTCAGCATTTTAGTAGCCAGGCCTGAAGTTCAGCTCTAGAGCTGAAGTTTGCCAGTTATAAAATAAAAACTTCAGCTCTAGAGCTGAAGTTTTTGTTTAGTAACCCGAAAACTTCAGCTCTAGAGCTGAAGTTTGCCAGTTATAAAATAAAAACTTCAGCTCTAGAAGTTTTTGTTTAGTAACCCGAAAACTTCAGCTCTAGAGCTGAAGTTTGCCAGTTATAAAATAAAAACTTCAGCTCTAGAGCTGAAGTTTTTGTTTAGTAACCCGAAAATTTCAGCTCTAGAGCTGAAGTTTGCTAGTTATAAAATAAAAACTTCAGCTCTAGAGCTGAAGTTTTAGTTTAGTAACCCGGAAACTCCAGCTCTAGAGCTGGAGTTTCCCAGTTATAAAGGGAAGCTGAAATTTTTTAAAAAGTGGGTACGGATGCAAACAAAAAGACAAAGCGGCTACAGGTAAAGGGGCACCCAAATAGGGCGCCCCGTGCAATTTTTACAAAAACTGCTTCTGCTGTTGGCCAAAAATACTTCTCTGTATTGGCCAAACAGTTTAAATTTTTTTAGAAATACTTTTTTGAAGGAGAAAAGTACTTTTGACCTCCAAAAAGCTTGGCCAAACAGGCACTTAATTAAGGTAATTCACTAAAATTTTGGGAACTTCAGTGGATGGTACTTAATGTAAGACCTAAGGGAAGTGCAAGGGAGAAAAAGAAACCCCAGAAAGAAAGATCAATACAACACACTAGAGCCCTATACCTTTTGCTACTCTACACAGTGTTCAAATGTTTCGATTTTGAGCCCTAAGAATGTGAAAAATCATTATATAAAGCGCTTTTTCCTTTAATGGGCCTTATAACCTGTTTGGCCAAGCTTTTTTCTTGGCCAAAAGTGTTTTTTTCTTCAAAGTTAAAGTGTTTGTCCAAGCTTTTTGAAAGAAAAAAAGTGATTTTGAATAGAAACAGAAGCAGTTTTTGAAAAGCAGAAAAAAATAGCTTCTCCCTAGAAGCACTTTTTTGAAAAATACTTTTAAGAAAAACACGGGATGAGATCCTCTCCGGTGAAAATTGGTCCAGTATTATTCAATACATAGACCGATGTATGCCATGTGTCCACCCAACTATTTTATGGCTTAGATTCATTTTGTTGTAAACAAGTAAAAAGGGCAAGGCAATTTTGAATTAAAAATGATAAGAAAATAGAAAATCTAACCGCAGCGGTTTATGTCAACGTGTCTGCCATTTTATCTCATTTCTTAAACACTACTACGATGCACCATTAGGGCCCACAATAGGGTCATAGTAAAGCTTAGAGCTATGTGCATTTCAAAAGTTTTCAGAATTTTATTTTTACAGTATTATAATCTTAAATTTGGAAAAAAAAATTCTGATCTTTTGAGCAGGATTTTGACAAATAACACTTTAAAGGACAAATATCATTGTTTCATGTTGACAAAAAAGCTCTCGAATAATGAGATCCAAGAGTTCCTCTTATGTTGACAATTTTAGTTTTCAAATCTTTTCACTTATGAGTTCGGACATACAGACTTTTCTTGATGTAGTTGGCTTCAACTCATCTTTTAGAAAATTAAATTTTTTTAAAGGCATTTTGATTTCGTATTTGGTCCAAGATTCTTTACCTCCTAAAAACAAAAAATAAAGTTACAAGTCTATCTAAATCGAATAAATCGAAGTTACTAAGTCGAATAAATCAAATAAAAGTGGATAAAATCAAGCCACATTGAATTCAATTATATATAATATTGATATAGTATTTTAAGAAACTAAATAACGAAAATATTGCATCGAAATATTTAAAAACTGTACCACACCAAGCGAGTTAAATCGTACGAATAAACGAAAGAAATAGCGTAATTGCTCAATATTATGACATTTTTTTTACAAGTTCACTGTTCCAAGGCTACAAAATTGATCTCAAAGTTTAGCTTTTAGAAAACAATACTGGTACAGATTTATGATGTATAATTAATTAGAAAGATAAACGAAATTCCTTGATGTTACGTTATTGGTAATCTTTTCTTTAAAAAAATGAGGTCAAGACAATTTTTGGCGTCTAAAAAGCTGTGTAAATTCAATTCCCTTCACCTTAATTTTTCTTTTTTCCTTATAATTATTTTCGACCTTTTTATTGTTACTCAAACACATGATGGGCCCTAATGGTGCATTGTAAAGTTAAAATATTATGGTATAGTCAGTTTTCACACTGGTCAATGAAAAATAGCCACCGTTTATCAAGTCAATGAAAAATAAACACTATTTTGCTGCAACAGGGACCGGTCCAGTATAATATACGGGAGTTCTGGTGCATTTGTGTACGAACTCCAGCATATTATGCTGGACCGGTATACTTTGCTAACTCCTGTAAAATTTGCGGGAGACTGGAGCACCAGTGCTCCAAACTCCAGTATATTATACTGGACAATTATACTTGCTGGAACTCCCGTAAAATTTGCGGGAGTTCCAGCATAATTATGCTTGAACTCCCGTAAAATTTGCGGGAGTTCCAGCATAGTTATCCTGGAACTCCCGTAAAATTTACGGGAGTTCAAGCATACTTATGCTGGAACTCCCGTAAAATTTGCGGGCGTATTTTTCCGGATTTTGAACAGTGTTTTCGCTCAGATTTAAAGTGGCTAAATTTCGATGACTTTTGAAACTTGGCTATTTTTCAACGACCAGTGGTAAATCTGGCTATTTTTTAATTTCTTCCCATTGTAAATGGCAGGCACGTTGATATAAACGGCCGCCGTTAGTTTTTCTATTTTCTTATCAATTTTAATTCAAAATTGCCTTACCTTTTTTACTTATTTACATCAAATAAAATTAAAGCCATAAAATAATTGGGTGGACACATGGCATAAATCGGTCTATGTATTGAACAATACTGGACCAACTTTCACCGGAGGGGATCTCATCCCGAAAAACACTTAGAAACACCTTTTAACAGCTTGGCCAAATATAAATTGCTACTTCAAAGTACTTTTTAAATTAATTAATCAAACATTGCTTCTCACAAAATATACTTTTTTTAAAAGCACTTTTAAATAAGCAGATTTTTCTAGCTTAGCTTGGCCAAAAAGACTATTAGACGAGGTAATTACACGGCGTAAAATTGAATTAGTCAGGAACCCCAAATGGGTACACTTATACCATGTCAAAGTATATATGGCCAATGCATCAAAAAGCTTAAATTTTTAAAGTTCGCACACACTTATTTACTTAATTATGTTTTTTCACGTTCAAGCAACTAGGAAAAAAAAGGGCAACTCGGTACGCTAAGTTCCTACTATGCGCGGGGTCCTGGGAAAGACCGGACCACAAAGGTCTATTATACGCAATCTTACCCTACATTTCTGCAAGAGGCTACTTTCACGGCTCGAACCCATAACCTCCTGGTCACATGGCAACAACTTTACCAATTTTGCTAAGGCTCCCCTTCAAGGACATGGCAAGTATTGTTACTACTTCATCTATACTACTAGCTAAGGAATGCTACAATGCTCAATAATAATAGCTCATAGAGCCTAATTGAGGAATGCATTTTAGGACCAAAATAAGAAGGCACTACAAAAGTGAGATCAACATAATAAACTGAAGAACTAAAAGAAACCCTGTTTTCCAACCCCAACAACCAAAAGAGCATAGACAAAAATGGGGACTTAACCGAAAAACCACTTCTCTGAAAGATTTTATTGTTGGTTACAAGCCATATGATGCACATTTGGCTCATCATCGTCATCCATAGCATAAGCCTCTTGCCTGCGTCGCTGCTCCTTGCGCCTCATTTCTTCCTCCATGTTGACATCATGCAAAGTAGTTTCCTCACACTCGTCTAACTCCATATCAGACGAGTGCTTCCCCAGTCTCTGTGGCAGAATACTCTCAAGAATGCGGCATTTCTCGGGGGAAAGAAATCCAGATTCTGGAAATTCCACATTAAAATGGATATAAAGCCGACCCTTAATGAATGGCCTCCCATAATGGGGCATTCCTTCATCATTTATTGCCTTATATTGATCTGCAAGAGACAACCAAATGATCATCAAATAGTAATCGGGTCTCCATTTACAAAAGAAAATAAGTAAATTAAAAGAAAAAACGAAAGAATTTTCGTTACCAGGCTTTATAACTTCTCCGGGGCTAGATTTGATCAGAAGCTGCCTGCCGTCAAGATGAGTCAGAACAAATTGAAAGCCACAGAGAGCTTCTGTCAAACTGAGATTGTGTTCCACGTAAAGATCATCAGACTTTCGCCTGAACTTCGAGTGATCCTTTTGTTGTAATATAAAAATAATATCGCCGGTGATGGTATCTGGCTGCATAACCACAACACAACCATTAAAACAGAAGTATCACTTTCCAAAATGACAAAGGCAGTGCACATACTGCAACAGGAAAGCAGATAGCCTTCACGGTTTTCTCAGTGACAACAACAATAACAACAACAACAAAAAACCCAGTGTAATCCCACAAGTGGGGTCTGGGGAGGGTACTGTGTATGCAGACCTTACCTCCACCTTGAAGGTAGAGAGGTTGTCCGATAGATCCTCGGCTCACTAAAGACGAAAAGGAAAGCAGTGGTTTTCTCAGTGAGAAGGATATATATTCAATTCAAAGTCTTGAACTTAACTTCAATGTTTATAGTTCAAATATATCAGATTAAGTAAGAAGGACCCAATTTATTTGCAAATATTGACTAAAAACTTTGGAAGCCCACTTTAATATTTTCGGGGAATTGCGAAAGCTGAGCAATATATTGGCATTGCATAAAACTCTTACAGCTTCATCAGCTTCCCCGTCGAAAACAATCTTCTGACCGTGTTGCATCCCTTTCTCAACATTCACTTCCAATACTTTCTTTTCTTGTGTAATTTTGTTTCCCTTGCACTGAGTGCACCTATCTCTCTCACTTATAACCTCTCCTGTATTAACAAAGAAAAATTCATAGTTTCACCAATAATTTCTTCCCTATTATGTATAAGACTGAAAATTAGTATCACAGGGATAATCTCATTAACTACGTACCTGATCCTCGGCATTCAGGACAAACATGTTGCATCTGTTGAATCATTCCTGGGGCTATCTGTCTTGTCGTAACACGCATTCCAGTACCTTGACATCCATAACATGTTCCAGAGGCTCCACTCTTTGAACCTTTCCTGATAATACAAGAAAATCATAGAGAACTCATCAATACACACCAGTGAAGTTCAACAAAACATACATGCTGAGGGCAAGTTAAATGCATAAGCAATCCAATAAATAAAAGCCAAATAAGACGAGCTTAAGACCGTCTAATCTCTTCATTAAGATGCAGATATTCCGGTATGAGAGATAGACAGACAGTGTGGAAGAGGTGAAGATTTTGGAAGAGGATTAAATGTACAACAAACTTCTATCAGATAATTCTTCTTCTTTTTTTCCTGATCTATCTCGCCTTTCTTGCCATTATTGCACAAAAAATAATCTTATGTTTTTCTCAGATACATTAAATCGGTAACAGAAGGTTATATTAGATTACCCACTAAGATGCAGAAGACCTCATAGCCATAGCCACCGCCACCGAACAAAGGAGAAGCAATATAAACCAACCTTTCAACGTCCTACAAAATACTGTAAAAGCATCTAAAGGAGTGGAAAGAGCTAAAGAAAATAGAAATCTAACAATCTTATCTAATAGAGAAGTCTCTTCCGCCTTCCGATTTACAATTTGGTCAAACCATTAGGAGGAGAACCTGCTTCAATACAAGTTTTTGTCTACAACAAATGACTAACTTTATTCTAATAAAATTTTGTTTTGCTACAAAGAGAAAACTAGCAGAAAGTTAGTATGCCTAATTTTTCCTGGGAGGGTTTCCGAATTTGAAAAATTCCAATAAGTATCTAGTACTCTGTCACACATCTCTTCAAAGCAGAGGCGGATCCAAGATTTAAATTTTATGGGTTCAGTATTTAAGGTTTTAGCATTGAACCAATCCTATTTTTCAAAGTTATGGGTTCATATTCACTATTTCTTACAATATAAAATTACACATAAATTCATGCCCCGGCTCGAAAGTTATGGGTTCAGTTGAACCCGTAGCTATAGTGCTAGATACGCTCCTGCTTCAAAGGATGGTCGATTTTTTTACTCAAATATCACTCAAACGCAGAGACAGGACTTGGTATTGATTCTCATCCTTAATGAGAACAGAAGTACTTAAAAACAGTGTAATCATTCAACGTATTTACTTGAGAATCTCACAAAGTGCCACAAAGACAGTAGGAAGTGAAAAAAGTAAAATAATTTAAGAAAGAGAAATACCCTTTACATTTTGGGCACAGTATATTCCGTGAAAGAGAGAGCTTTTTCGTTGTGCCATTGTACAAGTCTTCCAGAGAAACCCGTAGAGTGTGCATTGAATTTTCACCTTGTTTCTTTCTGCTGCCTCTGAAGCTACCACCACCTAGGATAACCAAAGGCAGATGGATTTTTCAACAAAAAAATTAAAAAAAGATAATACTAACAAAGAGGAATATAGCAACCCCCCCCCCCCCCAAAAAGTTGCATGGCCTCTTCCTATCAACCCTATACCTAAGACGGAGATGAGTTGTCATTACCGCCAAAAGCTCCACCAAAACCTCCACCAAAGAATGACTCAAATATGTCAAAAGGGTTGTGACCGCCACCACCCCCACCCATTCCTTCTTTAAGCGCATCTTCACCATACTGATCATAAATTTCTCTCTTCTCTGGATCACTTAAAACTTCATATGCATGAGCCAATTCCTTGAACTGAGTAGAGAAAAAACATGACAAAGAAAATATAGGACAAAAAATGACAAAACGAGCATCAGAATAACAAAGATTCCTTGTACAGAGACAACACATATGGAACAGCAACATGCAGAGATTTTTAATTGCACGTGCGAGAGGCGCAACTCACTTTTTCAGGGTCACCGCCCTTGTCAGGATGATTCTTTATAGCAGCTTTTCTATATGCCTTTTTAAGTTCATCTTGACTGGAATTCTTTGAAACACCAAGAACCTCATAGTACTTGGAGTTATCACTCCTCCTTGCAGCCCGCCCAAACATAATGGATTACCTTAGTAACTGCAACAGAACTGAAACAATTTCATTTTAATTTAATCATTTTAGGATAAACTTATTGAATAAAGAAAGCTAGATACTACACATACAATATGTGCAGTAAATAGGGAGCTGAGATGTATTGATTACCAGTAACTATTGGTGCACGCGAGTATCAAGACAAGCAATCTGGAAGAAGTATATTAAGATAAGGAAAGTGCTATACTAGTTCATTCATATCAATCTATATGAACATTCTAGCGATTCAAGCACGAAACAACAGAATATGGACCATTTTTCTTTTGTAATCATAAAGCAATTAGATAAAAAAGAGGGAGAAAACCATGCTTTGAAAGGCAATTTTATTAAAAGCCATAGCATCGTCGCTTTAAAGGCGGGAACGATGCAAAACAGGGGCTATCGCTTCATAGGCACTCGGAAAAATGTGCACTTTTAAACGGTGAGGCACAAGGTGAAGCTATTCTTTGAATCTGACATTGAAATATAGAAGAAAAAGGGTCTGTTTTCATGAAGAGAAAAAAAAAAGTTTACGGTCTTTTGTCATTTGAGTACTAAGGTGGTAAGGTTCTTCTAGTATGCGAGTCTGCTTCTATTACTTGTGATTCTGAACTCCCTTTTCCTTCCCTCTTCTACTATCTTAGTATATCTGTTAAACCAATTATATATGAAACCAGAATACTACAAATTAATTCTTTTTAAGCCTGCAGTTTTTAGGAATTAGTTTCTAAAGATAACCCAACTGACCTTTTTATATATTACTATCTTCAGCAAACCAATACAAGCTTATTGAAGCTCAAAATTCTAAATGCCACTTATCTTTCCACTGATATGATACACAAGATGCAAAGAATCAAATTTTAATGCTGTAACTATACAGAGAAATATCTGTCCAAAGTTTCACATATAAATAAAGAGAAAAATGAAATTTGGAAAAGAAAATTAATACTCCCTATCACTGCCAATTCATGTGGCATGCTTACCTTTTTAGGTAGGGGAGCTTTGGATTAACGGTAAAGTTGTCTCTGTGTGACTTATAGGTCACGAGGTCGAGTCGTGGAAGCCGCTAATGCTTGCATTAGGGTAGGCTATCTACTTCACACCCTGGGGTATAGCCCTTCCCCGATCCTCCACGAATGTGAGATGCCTTGTGCATCGGGCTGCCCTCTTTTTACTTCCTTTTTAGTATGTCCTAAAAAAAGACACCTTTCTATATTTAGAAAGGATTTATCTTTACACTTCCATTTTACCCAAATATTTTATACTCATATAAATGGCTTAATTTAGACTATAAATTTTAAAAGTCTTATATTTTTTTTTTCTTAAATTCTGCGTCGAGTCAAACTATGCCATGCAAATGGGAGGGGGAGTAGATAAATCACAAACTTAAAATCACAATAGCTCAAAAATAAACAAGAAAAATCAAACGACGGAGTTATACAGAAAAGGAAGTAACTTTACAGCTGAAATAGTAAAAAGATCCCCAAATAAATATAGAAAAAAAATATGCTAAGATACAATTCAAATGACAGCCAAAGAAGCAATGGGGAAAAAGATTGAAGAATTGTAACCAAAAGAAGAAGAAGAAGAATACCTCGAAAAGGGGTTTCTAAAGAGAGAAGAAGAGTTTGTTACAGAGAGAAAAATGAAGAGCAGCTTTCCCTTTCTTATTCAACAACAAGGAAAAGATGACATGTGTTTTTCTTCTGAAGAAGAAGTTTTGATTTCAGATTTCGGGCGGTGGCAAAATAGAAAGATTTTGTGAAAATTATTATTAAAATCTTTATACTAAGTACGGTTAATATTTTAAATATTTATTTTATGTGATATTGTTTGATCTAACCATATTTTTAAGAAAGGACAAAATATTTTTAATTACAGTTGAGTAAAAATGTATCTAAGATTTAATTTGATGGTTTTGATTTTTAAGATTCTTATATTTAAATTTAATTGTATTTTTAGAATTATGGGTCAGATATATGAGCCCGTTTGGAAATTTTCACTTTTTTTCGAAATTAGCGTTTGATCATAAAAAATTTTAATTTTCACTTAAAGATGCATTTTGGAGATTTTTGAAAATTTAAAAAACTCCAAAAAGCTGTTTTCCAAATTTTTGATCAAATCACTCACAAAACTTCAAAACCAACCCAAAATTGTATTCATGTCCAAACACAACTCTAAATTTCAAATACATACACTTTGAAAAAAAATTCACCCTTTTTTTAAATTCTACAATTCTTATGTCCAAACGTCCACATAGTATTTGTTGGAATCTTACCAGATCTTCACACACACATATATAGAAAACTACCGGCTATGTCCATTTATAAGTAGCTTATTACAAATATTGGCCAATTCAATAAATATTACTAATATTAGCCAATTAGCTATTTGTAGCTAAAACAAGGTTAAATTTTTGCTTTCTTTTGAATGAGTGTTATTAAAATAGATTGAGTACATCTTAAGAAACTTGAACCTCAATTTTGGAATTTGGTGGAGTTTTGAGGTGGTTTGAATTTAAAATCCGAAGTAGAATATGAAACATGAAAAAAGAAATGATTTGTGTATCACACTGCGTATCATTTGTATATCACATATTTATCATATTTGTATCAAATGTGTATCACCTGTATATCCATATATAACTCTGTGTGTGATACATGTGTCGCAGAAGAATTTTTTGAACTCGATTTTGACTATGAATCTTTGATACCAAATCACCTCCAATCTTCCTCAAATTTGTATATTGACTCATTTTATGTTTTCAATGAATTTCAACCATGCACATTGAAAAAGGTCATTTTTTGCTTAGATTTTTATATATATATATATATATATATATATATATATATATATATATATATATATATTTGAAATAAAGCTTCGACTAAAACTTACAACCGCTAGCCATTAATCATAGACTTACCAAAACTAGCCAAACACATAAAAATTGAAAACCCAAATAAATAAGGTTCTTTCTATCCAAGAATTACATGTAAAGATCTTGGATAGAAAGAACCTTATTTATTTGGGTTTTCAATTTTTATGTGTTTGGCTAGTTTTGGTAAGTCTATGANTATATAAATTCAAATTATTTTTTATTTCAAATATATATATATATATATATATATATATATATATATATATATACTGACTTCAAATGAATCTCGTACCAAAGAACTACATCTGCATTGCTGTAGAGCTAGCTAAAAATGGAAGCAAGAAAAATATTTTTGACAGCCCAGTATATTTTGGTATTTCACTAGCAGATCGATTTCATGGCCAATTACAAAAAAAAATTCTAGTTATATGAATATTTTCATATGAGATTGATAACATATAAGTAACACAAAGGGTTAGTAAATAAAACGGCAAAGGGACTAAACTACCCCTATTGTTTGCTAAATGATTTATAAGTATCCTTCGTCCATCTATCCGTCTGAAAAAGCACACGACGTTAATTTTATTAATAAAAATACCCCCACGTCTAACGGCAGAATTGGTGGACCTTTTATTTAATGACGTGGTAATTTTTTACTGGGCCACATGGCATGGTCAGCCAAAAACCAAATATGGGTCTTATTTCTGCCCAATACCTGATCCGACCCTATGGTTAGTTGCACGAGTGAAAAACCCCCCCCCCCCTTCTTTTCTTCTTCTCCCAATCTTGAAACGTAAATTACCCCTCCTTCATTATATTTTCAGTTCACTTCTGTTATTTCTCACTTCACAAATCACCGCCCCACCATCGTTTGCTCTTCTCTCTTCCCTTCAATCCTTCCCTTTCCTCCAAAATCCCTACTCTTCCCCTCCATCTCCCTTTATATCACAAGCTTAGATACTGATCTTCCAATTTTCAGTAAATAACATCAAAATCACCGTCTCTGCGATTTACAATGATGAGTATGTCATCGCTTCTGGGATTGAAGATTCTGCAGCAAAAATTTCATCCACCAAAATACAAATCGAAACCCAAATTTCAAGTCGAGTCCTTAGTGTATCACCAACAATCATATTGAGAGGCGTGGTGTCGCTTTACTGGCGTGATTTAAATGAGTTGAATGAGAACTAGACTGATTTGAGAATTACGTATGGGCTTAGTTCGAAGATTATAAGTGTTAATGATGTGGGATTTGTTAATGAAATTGAAATTGCGTATCCAAATTTGTATTATAATAAATGACTTGTGGTTCATGGGTTTCAGAGTGTGATTCCGTTGCTTGTTGAGATTGATGATGAATTGGGCTAAAATTTTAGGAAAATTGAGAGTAATGCAGTGAAATTTGATGTTTCTTTGGTTTATTATCCGGGTAAAAAAAATTACATTAAACCCAGCTTATTATTACTCTCTATGCCATAAGGTCAGATCAGATAAATGGGTAGAAATAAGACCCATATTTGGTTTTTGGCTGATCATGCCACGTGGCCTAGTAAAAAATTGCCACGTCATTAAATAAAAGGTCCATCAATTCTGCCGTTAGACATGGGGGTATTTCTATTAATAAAATTAACGTCGTGTGCTTTTTCAGACGGATAGATGGACGGGGTATTTATAAACCATTTAGCAAACAATAGGGATAATTTATGCCCTTTTCCGTAAATAAAATACAAAAAAGAAAGTTCATACTAATTTTGTCTTATTCAAATTATAACTGAATATAAGAGATCATTTTTAATTCACACCATCCCTATAAGAGAAATGGTTTTATGCTTATTACAAATATTTCTTTTATTAGTTTTACTCCCTGCTATTACGTCAGCTGGTTAACGTCAGTTTTTTTGTTTTGGAGTTGCCATACTAGTTAGCTTAGGCCCATTAAAGAGTATTGTTTCCGTCCCATATGCACAATATGATCAGAGGCGGAGCCAGAACTTCAAGCTTGTAAGTTTGAGATCCTAATTTTTTTAAGTTAATGGGTTCTAAATTAATAATTTGTACATATTTAATTAAAAAATTTAAGACAAGTACATAATTTGAATCAAAACTATTGGGTTCGGCCAAACCTATAGCCGACATTATTGTTTGATCAAAAAGCGTTAAACTCTTTGTTAAACTAATTAATGATGAGATAAGGGGTGAATCCTAGCTAAATATAATAAGATCTAGACAAAAGATAACTTGGATAGATATGTGGAATGAGACAACGTTTAAGAGTAATAAAGATCAAACACGTGTTCAATGATTATCAATGAATGTTGTAATAAGAACATGCAATAAATATAGAGAATGGCAATAAATGTAATAAAGAGGAATTTATCACCCAGATGTTAGATGGTTTTGGTGATTTTCCTTCCTGACAGCAACATGGGACTAAGATAAATAAAGATGGATAAGGAATCTATGGATCTTGTGAACAAAGAATGAATAACGTGTGTAGAGCTATAGAATGAGTGAACAAGACAATATTTGTATATTCTTTCAAGTCAACTCTTTACAAAGTGCTCTTATCAAGAAGTGAAGATCCCCCCTTTGTCTCTATCTCTTCCTATTTATAAGGGATATCCTCAAGAAACCCTAAAAAGTACAACATAAGGAATATCCAAAGGAATATCCCTTATGTCTATTTCTAAATCTATCCTACCGTTACTTCTTTACTCCATTTGCTCGTCCTTAGGGATAATTCTTCTGAAGACGACTCCTCGCTATTATGTCGTAGTCGACCCCGTCCTCGACCCTGTTTATCTGCAGTTATCAAGCCGTCCAAATTTAGACCAATACAGTTATTCCCTCTACTTGTTGAGGTCGTGATCTTGCACGTCCTCGATAAGCGGACCCGATCTGCGTCCGTTTAGAAGAAATTTGGTCGTGTTGATTAAGTCGAATCGGCCGAGGTCGAAAAAGCAGTGTGGCCAGCGAGGCTGCGATTGGTGTGGCTAACGTGGGGTGACGTCATGGCCACGCGCGTCATCATTCCGCGTCTTCCCGATGCAGTGTTTGTGCTTCTATCGTTTTGATTTTGGTGACATTGACGGTCTTCTGCTTCGATTCTGGTGCCACCCAACCCTATAAATAGATGGGGGGGCTTCATTTTTTAAAATTTTCATCATTTCTCATTTCGCCTGTGCATTGCTCTTCTTTTATCTTCTTCTCCGATCTCCGCTTTCAATTCCTTGCAGCTCCTTTAATTCTAATCCCTGACTTCTCACCCAATCAATACCTTCTTCAGATTTTGTTGCATACGTTTCGCTACGGAAATATGTCAGAATCCCATCATATTCATGACGAGGTCTCCGATGCTACTCCTTTATCGGTGGCTCTTCCTCCCGGTGGTGAGGAATTCATAATTGAAGAGGATGACTGGTTCCCCACCATGGAGGAGGTAGTCCCCAAGAATCCTTTGGTCAGACATGATTTCCCAAAGGAGCCTGCTCCTGCTCCTGCTCCTGCTCAGAAGCTTTCTGAGACGGGACTGCCTCAGATAACCGACCTCCGGTCTAAACATCGCATTCCTCCTCACGCCGAAATTGTTCCGGTCGGGGGCGACATCGTAGAGGTTCACCGACCCGGATACTGTGCTTTCTATGTTTACCCATTCTTAATTTGTTATTCTCTTCTTCTCCCCCCCCCCCCCTCCCCCCATTAGCGGAGGAGTTTTGCCAATTTTATAATGTCTGCCCGACGCAGCTCTCCCCTTAATTGTATAAAGTATTTCTGATGCTGGCGAAGTACGCAGAATTGGCCGGCTGTGAGGTCAACGTTCGTCACTTGCTGCATCTATTTTCGCGCAGTTTTTATAGAGGTACGTTGATACACCTGCGTCATCTTGGGATAAAAGGGTTGGTGGCCGGGATGGATGATAAAGCGAACCGGCGGATTTGGCATAAGTATTTCTTCATCAAGACCGAGCACCTGGTGGCGAAGATCGAAGAATTGGGTCGGGCCGAGAAAGGCAGAATGGCCGCTATGGATGAAGCGGTGGCCTTCGAAGACGCTCTCCGTGTTTGCAGGTCCGAGCGGGTTAATGAGGTGGAGACATCGGCGCTTAAGGTAGCAAGGTTGGAAGAACAGATCCAGGGTTTGGAGGCGGAGTTGTCCGGGTTAAACGAGCAAGTCATTAACTTGAGGGCCGAGGAGACTCGACAGCAGTCATATCCGTCTACATATCATACTTCTGCCGATCTCGGCGTGCCGCGGGAGTTGTATGAGATGTAGGTCCATGTCCGAGGCTCAACTTGACGTGTACAAATCTCTGAAGGCTGCCGGGAAAGTTTCCGAAGCAGAGCTTGAGGGCGTCCGTGTCAAGGTACGTGCAGCCCGTGAAGCTTGTGGCTATGATCCTGGTACGCTTGGAGGGGATGAGGATGAAGGCGCCGCGGATACGCTTGCCTCTAATCCTTGGTATGATGATGAGTCCGTCGATGGGGATGATGTGGCGTGAAGCTGTTGCACTTATTTTATTTTTTTGCTTTGCTATTTTTGTTAGGGCGTCCTCGGGCCCTTTGTAAAAGTATTGTAATCCGATAATTGAAATGGAATAATTCCCTTTTTTGCTATGTATTTCTGGATTCCCGTTCTCTTTTCCTCCCTTTTTTTTTGCTATGTGGGGAAGTCCCTGATTTTTCGGTTGTTTGTATATGTTCGATATTGGTTGAGTCGAACATAGACTGACTTGAGGTCGAGCATTAATTAGCTCGGACGAGACCAAGGTTTGATGAGGTGTAAAATCATATAACTCGAGCGAGGTCGAATGTAAAGTAATTCGAGCAAGGTCGAATGTAAAGTGATTAGAGCGAGGTCGAATGTAAAGTAATTCGAGCGAGGTCGAATGTAAAATATAATTCGAGTGAGGTCGAATGTAAAATGTAATTCGAGCGAGGTCGAATGTAAAATAATTCGAGCAAGGTCGAATGTAAAATGTAACGTGACTTGGTGGAGTGCAAAGATGCTGCTTTATTTCATTCATTGGAGAATATTACATGTTTCTGTTTGTTCCATACATATATTGGAGAAGTTCCCGTGTACCTAGTCCCTTCATCGTTCGGCCTGGAGAAGTAGTCGGCAGGCGGGGCAATGAATTATACTTGAACTTCGAGACGTCCCCTTCATCGCCTCATTAAAAACCTCCCCGAGAAAATCCAATTGGGAGAAAAACCGGGTGAGGGAAAAAGAGTACGACTTGGAGGGCGTCCGTTTTCAAAAGTTGAAGTATTTGAGGTGTCACACCCTTTTTTTCACCTTACTAACCCTCTTAAAATTAATAAAAAGATTTGTAGAGCTCAAAAGGGTTTCAATTTGAAAAGTGACAAAAGATTGTGTTTCGAAGGATTTGTCAGAGTCGCCACCTGACATTTGATTTCGGTGTGTCAGGTCACTATTTTTAGAAATAATTTTTCCTTTTAAAAAACTTTAGACTCCAAAACTAAGTCTGCACCAGAGATTCAAGGTAAGGGAGTTCATTTGACTCGGGGAAAAGGTGTTAGGCATTCCCCGAGTCCCGTGAAAATCACGGTTGCGTACCCGATCTAGTTGGCTTTTAAAATATTCAAATTGAGGTAAAAAACACACATAAAAGTCAAATAAACACAAAAGAAGCTCGAGGTTGTCCTCACCTAATAAAAGAAAACAAAATAAAATAAAACAAGCCTTACTATCATATCTTATGCCTCCAACGATGATGACACGGTCTCCATTTACATTCACTTCGGGGCATACCCCTGAATAAAAATATATACAGGATCTATGGGGCATTCCCCTGAATATATGACTAAAGGGAGCGACTTCTCACCTCGAATAAATGGAAAAGACCTAAAGTTTGCCTACCTAAGTTTGACGGCCTAAACATGCTCCTAACGATTAAATTGATAAAAACAAATAAACGAATAACAAAATTTATCCAAAAGCTCAAATCATTTTAATTTCAGTTTTTGTCATGATCAATTTATCTTAAGAAACTCAAATCCCTTTTTAAAAAAAAAAAAAATTCCAAACCCCCACTACCCGTAAAGGTCTTAACGTGAATGCAACTAATCCATAGTCAATACATTATGAACAACAAAATCTCAAATAAAAGTCATTAATTAAATAGCAAGATCTCAAACAATATCCAATAAAGCAAATAAGGGATCTACAAGTCAAAGAGATAAGAAATGACCTCAGGAGTGAACTCTCTTTGAATCTGAAAATGTTTTACTACCGGAAACCTTGGACGGCGATGGAATCACGAACTGGACCGCGACCTGAAACTCGACGGATCCTTATTTGACTGGGAAATCTCGAACCCCGACTTAGAAACTTCAGCTAAACATCATTAGAAATGAACTCGGTTTTGGTTTTCACTGAATTTTGGCATGAGTTCGGATTGAAGTGGCGGCTGACTTAGGAAAATTACAGTACTGATTCTTCGATTTTGTTTTAAGTTTCTCAATCCATTTCTAAGAATGTTTTGAAATTCCAAAAGGTTGCATAGATTTTGCAGCGGTGGATTTTTGCTCAAATTTTGAAGTAGATGGAAAGACACCGTCTTTGTATTTTCTTTTCCCTTTTGTGCGTTTTGTTTTTGCCATTCTCCTCTTCTGTTTTGTGTGTGTACTTGTTTGTATATATGCAAAAATAGTGTGAATTGTTTTCCAAGAATGAATTGAGATAAGAGTGTCTGTGAGTGGTCCTACTAAAGGAATATTTTTTGTACTTTCTTTGGCCTTGGCCTTGGCATCTGGCGTGTGTGTTATTGTGCAGGTGAAAATTTGTTATGGAGAGATAAGGTGGGGTCCACATCTTAATTGATTTCCTTTGCATTTTTTTGCTTTTCCTGTTATCCTTTTCTACTTGTTCGTTCCTTTTGTTATAAATATATTATATTATAAATGTTCATACTCCGTTGTAAATAAGCTTCCTGAAGAAGTTTATCCATATGGGGCTCTGCCGTAAATATGTTTATCTATTTAGTACTCTATTGGAAATAAGCCTCCTGAAGAAGCTTATCACTTCGGTACCCGGTTATGGATAAACATTACTTTTAGTATAAGATTATCCATATCTGGTATAGTAGCAGCTTACACAACAGCTTGTAGCAGCTTACACAACAGCTTGTAGTAGCTTACACGGCAGCTTGTAGTACAGCTTACACAGCAACTTGTAGTAGCTTACAGAGCAGCTTGTAGTAGCTTACACAACAGCTTACAGTAGCAGCTTACACAGCAGCTTGCAGTAGTAGCTTGCAGTAGCAGCTTACACAGCAGCTTGCAGTAGCAGCTTACACAGCAGCTTCCTTTCTTCTATAAATAGAAGAGATTTCAGTTCATTATGTACATTAGTTTGAAGTTGAATAATATCAATCTCTCTCTCTATACTTGTCTTTGATTTCTTTACTTTAAAGTCTTTATTTTATAACACGTTATCAGCACGAGACTCTGCTTCAGAGGACGAGCAGCGCAGGCTTGAGAGGTTCAAGAAGTATGATCCCCCAGTGTTCAGTGGATTAGCATCAGACGATGCCTTGGGATTCCTAGAGGAGTGTCATCGTATTCTTCGCACTATGGGCATAGTGGAGTCCAGCGGGGTTTCTTTCACTTCTTTTCAGCTTCGGGGAGCTGCCTATGATTGGTGGCGCACTTATGAGATAGACAGTCCAGTCGAGGCTGCTACACTGACTTGGACCCAGTTCTCGGATATGTTCATGAGAGAGTTTGTCCCCCAAAGTCTCAGGGATGCATGGCGCGCAGAGTTTGAGCATTTGCGCCAGGGTGCTATGATCGTTTCAGAGTATGCTATCCGTAATACCAGGTTGGCCAGGCATGCACCGGCTTTGGTTGCTACAGTTCGGGAGAGAGTTCGCAGGTTCATTGAGGGTCTTATTCCACCCATCAGATCTAGCATGGCTCGAGAGTTGGAGATGGACATTCCTTATCAGCAGGTAGTGAGCATTGCTAGGAGGATTGAGGGTATGCTCGCCAGGGAGCGAGGAGAGAGGGAGGCCAAGAGGTCCTGAGAGTCGGGTCACTACTCTGGTGCCCGTACCCCATCAGGAGGTCGTTATGGCAGAGGTTATTCGGGTCGCCCTGTTCATTCAGCACTTCCAGCAGCCGGCAGTACTCTAGCTCCACCTGCACCTCAGGAGCCTTACTATGCACCTCCAGTTTCTAGCGCGCCTCCTGCACGGGGTGCTTCCAGAGGTCAGTCCAGCAGGCCTAGTCCCAGCCAGTCACAGCCACCGCGTCCTCCCAGAGCTTGTTTTGAGTGTAGTGATACACGCCACATGGTTAGGGACTGCCCCAGACTTGGTAGGGGTGCATCTTCACAGACTGCTCAGCCGCAGCGTGCTCCTCTGAGTTCTCAGGCCATGATCACAGCTCAAGCAGCTACCCCACCTGCCCAGCCGGCTAGGGGCGGAGGTCGAGGAGATAGAGGTCGCCCTCAATAGAGGGGCCGGGCCAGATATTATGCTATTCCTGCTCGTACTGAGGCTGTTGCCTCCGACTCCGTCATTACAGGTATTATTCTGGTTTGTCACAAAGAGGCATCGATTCTATTCGATCCGGGCTCTACTTACTCTTATGTGTCTTCTTACTTTGCTCCTCATTTGGGTGTGCCTCGGGATTCTTTGAGTGCCCCCGTTTATGTTTCTACTCCTGTGGGAGATTCTCTTGTTGTGGACCGCGTTTATCGGTCATGTTTGGTTACTATTCGTGGTTTTGAGACCAGAGAAGACTTATTATTACTCGGTACGGTGGATTTTGACATTATTCTGGGCATGGACTGGTTGTCGCCCCACTTTGCTATTCTTGATTGTCACGCCAAGACCGTGACGCTGGCTATGCCAGGTATTCCGCTTATTGAGTGGAGTGGTACTTTAGATCACACTCCCAGTAGAGTTATCTCTTTTCTTAAAGCTCAACGCATGGTTGAGAAGGGGTGTGCCGCGTATTTGGCTTATGTGAGAGATGTTAGTGTTGATACCCCTTCTGTTGATTCTGTTCTAGTGGTACGGGATTATCCCGATGTATTTCCAGCTGATCTTCCAGGCATGCAGCCTGATAGAGACATTGATTTTGGTATTGATCTGTTGCCGGGCACTCAGCCCATTTCCATTCCTTCGTATCGTATGGATCCTCCTGAGTTGAAGGAGTTGAAGGATCACTTACAAGAATTGCTTGGTAAGGGTTTTATTCGACCCAGTGTTTCACCGTGGGGTGCTCCTGTTTTGTTCGTGAAGAAGAAGGTATTTTCTAAGATTGACATGCGCTCAGTTTACCATCAGTTGAAGATACATGAAAAGAATTACCCTGTCCACGACCTTGAGTTAGCTGCCATTGTTCATGCCTTGAATATCTGGCGTCATTATTTATATGGAGTGCCTTGCGAGATCTATACTGATCATCGGAGTTTGCAGCACTTGTTCAAGCAAAAGGATCTAAATTTGCGCCAGAGGAGGTGGTTAGAGTTGTTGAAGGACTATGATATTACTATTCTGTATCACCCGGGCAAGGCCAATGTAGTTGGATGCCTTGAGTCGCCGAGCGGAGAGTTTGGGGAGTTTGGCATATCTACCAGCTTCAGAGAGGCCTATAGCGATGGATGTTCAGGCCTTAGCCAGCCAGTTTGTGAGATTGGATCTTTCAGAGCCCAGTCGGGTTCTAGCTTGTGTGGTTTCCCGGTCTTCCTTATTTGATCGTATCAGGGAGCAGCAGTATGAAGACCCTCATTTGCTTATCCTTAAGGATGTGACCATTGGAGATGACGGGGTATTGAGGATGCAGGGCCAGATTTGTGTGCCCAATGTTGATGGGCTTCGAGAGATGATTCTAGCAGAGGCCCATAGTTCGCGGTATTCCATCCATCCGGGTGCCGCGAAGTTGTATGAGGATTTGAGGCAGCACTATTGGTGGAGGCGGATAAAGAAAGATAATGTTGGTTATGTGTCTAGATGCCTCAACTGCCAGCAGGTAAAGTATGAGCACCAGCGCCCGGGTGGGTTGCTTCAGCAGATAGAGATTTCGGAGTGGAAGTGGGAGCGCATCACCATGGATTTCGTGTCGGGACTCCCACGAACCTTGAAGAAGTTGATGCCATTTGGGTCATTGTGGATCGGCTGACCAAGTCCGCTCATTTCATCCCTGTGTGTACCACTTATTCATCAGAGCGGTTGCCGGAGATTTATATCCGGGAGATTGTCCGTCTGCATGGTATTCCAGTTTCTATCATTTAGGACAGAGGTACCCAGTTCACATCGCGATTCTGGAGAGCCGTGCAGCAGGAGTTAGGCACTCGGGTGGAGTTGAGCACAACATTTCACCCCCAGACGGACGGACAGTCTGAGCGCACTATTCAGATTCTTGAGGATATGCTCCGTGCGTGTGTGATTGAGTTTGGAGGGCCTTGGGATCGTTTCTTGCCACTGGCAGAGTTTGCTTACAACAATAGTTATCAGTCTAGCATTCAGATGGCGCTGTACGAGGCTTTATATGGTAGGAGGTGTAGATCTCCGGTGCGCTGGTTCGAGCCAGGTGAGGCCAGGCTATTGGGCACAGAGTTGGTTCAGGATGCATTGGAGAAGGTTAAGACGATTCAGGATAGACTCCGTACAGCCCAGTCCAGACAGAAGAGTTACGCGGACAGGAAGGTTCGTGATGTTTCATATATGGTTGGTGAGCGAGTTCTGCTTCGGGTTTCGCCTATGAAAGGCGTCATGGGGTTTGGGAAGAAAGGGAAGCTGAGTCCGAGGTTTATTGGCCCTTTTGAGATCTTGAGGCGAGTTGGGGAGGTTGCCTATGAGCTTTCCTTACCTCCCAGCTTGGCCGGAGTTCATCCGGTATTTCATGTTTCGATGCACCGGAGGTATCACGGTGATCGGTCGCACGTGTTGGATTTCAGTTCAGTCCAGTTGGACAAGGATCTATCCTATGTTGAGGAGCCAGTGGCTATTTTGGAGAGTCAGATCAGGAAGTTGAGGTGAAAGAACATCGCTTCAGTGAAGGTTCAGTGGCGGGGTCAGCCGACCGAGGAGGTGACTTGGGAGACCGAGCAGGATATGCGCAGCCAGTACCCTCATCTTTTCTCTACCTCAGGTATGTTCTTTATGCTCGTTCGAGGACGAACGAATATTTAAGTGTAGGAGGATGTAACGACCCGGCCGGTCGTTTTTGGAATTTACGCCCCGATCCCCTATTAACTGCTTCCCCTAAGTTCATTTCTGCTATTTTGGTATGCCGGGACGTTCGGTGTTAAGTTTTGGAGAGTTTTGGGACACTTAGTCCCTAAATGAGAGCTTAAGAGTTGAAAAATGGCCCGTAATCAGAACAGTGTGAAGACGACCTCGGAATGGAAATCCGATGGCTCCGTTAGCTCCGTTAGGTGATTTTGGGGTTGGGAGCGTGCTCGGAATGTATTTTGGACGCTCGTAGCTCATTTAGGCTTGAAATGCCGAAGTTTGAATTTTTGAAATTTCCGGTCCGATAGTGAGTTTTTGATCCGAGGGTCGGATTGGAATTCTAGAAGTTGCAGTAGCTCTGTCATGTCATTTGGGATGTGTGTGCAAAATTTCAGGTCATTCGGGCGAGATTTGGTTAGGTTTTTGATCAAAAGTGTGTTTTGTTGGAATTTGAAGTTCTTAGGCTTGAATCT